AAAGTATACTTTGTAGGTGAACCATGTTTAGCGTCAAAAAAGCTTTTCATCACTATTCAATCTGTTGATTACCTCAATTTACGATTTTGTGAAAAATCACGGAAGGATTTGTTTTCAGTCCTATATTTATGGAACTGCACTGCAGTTTCAGATTTGAAATAGTACGCTTTAGGTGATGTCGGGAACTATTACTATGGGCAGGGACATCCCATGAAACCTCACCGCATACGCATGACTCATAATTTGCTGCTCAACTACGGTATATATAGGAAATTGGAAGTTTATGTGAGTGTACTTTCTTCAATATCTTGCTTCAACGACTCTATGTTTTCATACTTCAGCGTCCTACTCCAGCAACTTTTGAGGAGATGACAAAGTATCACTCAGATGACTACATGATGTTTTTGAAAAACATCCGACCGGATAACATTTCTGACTACACTAAGCAGATGCAGCGTTTCAACGTAGGAGAGGTGTGTTTTGATCATATAGTGTGATATCTAGTCTTATAGACTTGTTAAATTTACAAACAGGACAACTTCCAGGATTGCCCCGTTTTTGATGGGGTTTTCGAGTTCTGTCAGCTGTCTTGTGGAGGCTCTTTAGGTAAATCTGTGTCGATCCTTTCACTATCACCATTAAATAAGAGGCTGCCTTTAGCCGCTGCAACAAAGCTAAATCGCAAGCATGCTGACATTGCCATAAATTGGATGGGTGGCTTGCACCACGCTAAAAAGAGCGAAGCAAGTGGTTTTTGCTACAGCAACGATATCGTGCTGGCTATCTTGGAGCTTCTAAAGCACCATCAGGTACATTCCTTTTTGAGTAGGTTTATTTTCTCTCGAATAAAGAGCGTTTAGCGTGTTCTTTACGTGGACATTGATATTCATCATGGAGATGGCGTAGAGGAAGCTTTCTACACAACTGATAGAGTCATGACTGTATCTTTCCACAAGTATGGTGAATATTTCCCGGGCACTGGCGATTTGAAAGTGAGTTC